ACAGGGTAAGGCTCCCCCGGAACTGGGTCCGCACCGGTCACGTGGCAGCTAACTCACAAACGCAGGCCCGGAAGCTAACAAAGCTTCCTCAGAGGAACAACATCTGAAAACTGTCTGAAGAAAACAAACGTCAGTGTGCAGTCATCACCGCGGGCCCCAGGCGATGTATGCACCCTGTGCCCAACTCTCCCCGCCCGAGATCCCCGCCTCCTGCTCCTTGCTCACGCCTCCTCAGAAACCGAAGAAGCAGCTGTGTTCCCTCCTATTGACCCTGAGTATAAAATCCAGGACTCTCATCCTGCTGGTCTCGGTGTAAGCCCGGGGGCCCCACAGGAACTCGTAGCGGGGGGGATCACTGCCGGCCACCTGCCGGTACTCCAGGTAGTGCTCCCGCACCCACACGTCGGTGAGGAGCTCCCTGGGCTCCCCATAGAGAAAGTGCTCCACCCCCTCATGCACCCCCATGGCCCCCAGAGCTTCCCACATGTGCGCCTCGGAGGCGCAGTCGCCACCCAGGAGGATCACGCCCAGGACGACAACCAACAGGCCCGTCTTGGGTATGAGCTGCTCGGGGCTCAGCAGCCCGTCGTGGGTGAGGCCCAGCGTGGTGTTCAGGACATAGGAGTGGCCTCCGGGCTCCATTTCGGTCACGTCTATGCCGAAGACCAGCTGCATGCACTCGCAGGCTTGGCTGAAGACCCCCAGGAAGTGCCCTTGGTTATCACTGAGCACTTCCCTCAGCATCTCGGCCTGGCTGGTTGGTTCCTTTGCGCGATACTTGAGCAGCAGGAACCACACCAGGTCAGCCAACTTCTCCTGCAGTGCAGCTTGAAGGGGAGTCCGGGCTTCCCCTGCTGAGGCTTCGGCTGCCGGGGCTTCGGCTGCCTGGGCCTCCCCTGCTGAGGCTTCGGCTGCCTGGGCCTCCCCTGCTGAGGCTTCGGCTGCCTGGGCTTCCCCTGCTGAGGCTTCGGCTGCCGGGGCTTCGGCTTCCGGGGCTTCTGCTGCTGGGGCTTCGACGGCCTCCTGGGAGCTGTCTGGTCCCTCTGCTTCCCGGCTGTTGGCCTTACCATCCTCAGAGAGGCTGCCCCGTAGGGCAGCAATGGCTCTGGGGGAGGGGCTGACACCAGAAGGAACGTTGGGTGCACTGGCCTCTTCCTCAGAGATGACCTGGAGAAAGACGGGGTCAAAAGGAAGTAGAGGAAGAGGAAGAATAGGATACGACCTCCTCCCCATCATCCCCCACTACCTGAAAAGAACCATCTTCTCTTGGTTCCTGAACATTTTCCTCAAGATTCAAGAGCTCACTCTTCTGACCCAGAGACATGGTGGCACCTGTGGACAGTTGGAGACATGTCAGCAAGAGCTGGCAATGGGCCCAGGAGTCTCAAGGAGTAAATGTGAGCAGCCGCAGCTGAGAAAGCACATTTGGTGGCCCCGACAGAGTGGACAAACAAGGACCTGGTTAGAGGTGCTCTGTATTACTGGCTCTGTCCTTCTGGGAATTGTCCCTAGGAACATGAAGGAGGTGACCTCCCAAGACTGAACGCAGGGCCAAAGGAGGCCTCTCGCTAGGGGTCTAAAGTGCTGGCCCCTCAGCATCTCGCCTGCAGTTGCACCAGCGCAGACCACTCCCTCCCCTCTGGACCAGCAATCCTGCACAGCAGCCGGCC